GACAAAAAAAGTAAATAATTTTTAATGTTCATGGGTTTACCAAAAACTTATGGAGATATTTCATGAAACACTGATATTTACACTCCAAAAGAAAATATGGAAGCTTTACAAGTATCCTACAGAAGAATGTGATCTATTCTTTTCAATGCAGGATGATGGCATTGGATCATAGGCCCCCCTACAAAATTTACTTGCCACTTTTCTAGCCCACATTTCAGGATGAGAACATGAAGCAACAAAGTTCCTGTACTAAAAATCATGTAGAATATTTGGTGAACTGGCAATGGCAACATGATCAGAAAGAACAATCTTCTACTTGAGGGTAAACAATGAGTAATGAGAATATATGTAATAGAATTCTGCATTGCTTATTAAATTGAGAGAAATTTTACAGTTCTAGCAATATAATTATCACAAGCAATCAATTCTATAATTGCTACTAATCAACAACTCCAAGCAAGCCACCATTCTAATGTCATGGATACAAATATGATTAAAACAAGGCTTCTGTTATGAAATTTGTGATTTATTGGAATGAGGGGGCAGAAATAAAAAAAAAAAATGCCTAAGCAACACAAGGCAGAAATTATGTTTTTATAAGGTGGGTGAAAATGCTCTGAGGGAGAATTAATAAAATGGTGATGATGATAATTATTATTATTAATAATAATGCTTTCCAATTACAGAGTCCTTTCTATGTGACAGGTAAAACCTTAAGTATTTTTAATGGAGTATTTTACTTGGTCCTCAGAGCAACCCTGCAATACTGGTGATATTGAACTTAGATATATCAAATAAATACAAGCCAAAATTCAAACTCGAGCCCTGACTCCAAGAGTACACATAATAGAAAAATTGCTCCAAATTATTTCAGTGGTAAGGTAAGTAATGGCCTTGTTGAAGAAGTGCTGTGCTTTTAAGCCTTAAAGTCATAAAGAAGGTAGGGATGAGTTGAGAAGCCATTGAAAAGAGAAAGACTAGGATTGGCTTGTTACATTCAGGAAAACATAGATGGATTAGTTCTGTCACCAGGTGGGAAATTATGGAAAACAAAGCTGGAAAGTTCCTGAGGTCAGGTGCTTGCATTTTAGGAACAATGTGGTAACTGACCTAATAAATTCTTGAAGCATGGTGAAACCTGTGTGCTCAGAAGACCCACTGGGCCATGGTGGGAACAAAATAGTGTAATAATTAAGAGCACAAGTCTAGGAACAAGGCATGTGAACCTACAGCCCAGCTTTGGTAACTGATCCCTGCAGTAAATGAGCCTCCGGAAGTCTGTTTCCTCATCCACAATGACAAATTGGGTATTGATGTGTAGTAAACAGGACCAGGGCTACGAGAATTCAAGTCGGTTGTTTAGATAAAAGGTTTGCTACAGTGTGTGTAGTTAGTGATCAGTAAGCGCTAGCCTTTATGATTAATGTGTAAAATCAGACTGTGGAAAAGAGAGACTGACAGCAGGCATATAACCTTAATAGGCTACCAGCTCAGTCCAGATGAGAACAGACAAAATCCTCAACTAGGACAGAGGCGATGGCAAGTGAAAAAGAGGACAGTTACGCAAGATACTTCAGAGGCATGAGCGCCTTTGTGATTCATTAGAGGTGGGAGGTAGAGACATGACTCTGAGTGTTCATGCCTGGCTCACCAGGACAATGATGGTGCTATTCCCAGATACTGACCAATTATAAAGACACAATGGTTTGGAGGAGAAATCATGGATCCAGAATTTGTTTGGATATTGACTATGAACTAAAGGTATTGGGGTGCCTGGGTGTCTCAGTGGGTTAAGCCTCTGCCTTCAGCTCAGGTCATGATCCCAGGGTCCTGGGATCGAGCCCCGCATCAGGCTCTCTGCTCAGCAGGGAGCCTGCCTCCACCTCTCTCTCTGCCTGCCTCTCTGCCTACTTGTCATCTCTGTCTGTCAAATAAATAAATAAATTCTTAAAAAAAAAAAAAAAAAGAATCGATTCTGAACTAAAGGTATTCTTCAAGTCTTATCAGTGTACCCTCAAGGCAATATTTTTCTCAAATATGATACAGATATGACTAGTGGTAAACAAGATGGTTCAGGGGGTGGATGCAAAGATTGTCAAACAGCACTGATTTACATGGTGAGAAGATTTTTCCCTGTGAAATTATCATTCTACTCTTCTGTTTACATTAGTGAACTGTTTTGCTTTGGTGGCAGCTGCACTGTCCCATTTCTCTTAATACCTTTCTTTCCCTCTTTTTCAATATATTCCATCTGTAGAGCACAAATATATGCACTTAAAATTTAAGAACATTTGTTTGCTTTTCATTATATTTTTGTATCAACTTCTATTGTGTCAGATGCTTCTACTTTTCTAATTATGGTCCTAAGATAAGGAACCAGCAGTAGAGTCACCACTTGGATATAACGAAAGTCCTAAGAGGTAGGCTTAAATGAATGGAGGTTAGAAATCCCTGCAGTAATCCAGGTCAGATTTTAGGCAATATTCTCACTCAGTTTTGACCAAGGCTTTTTAAAAGGTTACACATTTACTATAAGTCTATGAGAAAAATCCCATTGTAATAAGGCTAAGATTTAAAAGGAGTATAAATTTGATCTTCTGATAATTTCCCAAGAAAGTTGTTTTAGTAACTTCCTAGTAGGTAATAACTAGTTATGGAGCTCCGCTTTGAAGGTAAGAATGCCATCAGAAATTAAACAAAAAGTCATGGAGAAACTCTTCCCAGTTATTACAAAATCAACTATCACAAGAATCAGGCTGCCTCTTACTTAGCATTGGTGTTAAGTTTCCATTCAGTCCTTTCTTTTCACAGATACAATTAAAATGGTACGGCACACACACAAAAATTTAAAAAAACAAAAACAAACAAACAAACAAAAAAACCCAGCAAGAGCAGGGAGTGCCTAAGAAGACCAACAGGGAGGCTAACCACCATATTAACATTCACAAAGAATTGATGCAATCAATTAAAAGATGCTACTCAATATCAAATCTGATATCAGTGAAGTTTTGCTTTGATTTCCTCAGAAGATTAATAGCTTCACGACACCTTGGCAATTTTTCTTGTCATGCTTTAAGTAAGTAAATCATTTTCTTCTGGAAATATCTCTTAATAGACAGTAAATATTCTAGATCATTCTTAGTATGAGTTATTGGGGAGGGAATGACTTTAAGTCCTGTAATATAAAGCCAACCCATCCCTCACTGCCATTTGATTTTATTGCCGCTCAGGGTTCAAATGACTAAAAAGACCAGCTAGTCATCAATTTTTGGGTTCTGTTTTAGGGTGCTGGAATAATTACAAAAATATGAATATACCACACAATTTAATGCCCAATTTCTCTTTCTGGAAGCATACAGACTTAGAGATTATTTTTACACATGTTCTTCCTTTCACAGATGGAAAACCAGTTCTAAGGCAATCCTGCATCTTTTTTGGGGACCAAATAAAAGACTGTTCTAGTACTTGATGTTCAGGATTTGCAGCGAATAAGGGAACAGAAGGCCACTTTTCAAAAATATACTCAAGCATTTCTTTGACCTTCTTTTACATTCTTTTTGCAAATTAAGATAGCTGAGAAACCCTCAGTGTTAGGATCAGATAGGTCTGATTTGAAGGATGATGGTTATAAAAAGATAATCTTAAATTTCTATTTTCGTGTCGATCCTTAATTTGCTTCTCTTATGTACAGTAGACCAAGGCCTTATTCTAAATCAGTCAACATAAAAATATGTCCTATGAATTTCAGGGAAAAAAATCAGGTATGTGCAAATAAGTCAACAGAAAACAGCTCAACTCACAGAAATACATCATCAAAATAGATGTCTTGATAGTAAGCTGAGAGCACAATGTTTATGTTTGAAACAGGGACATAATTAGATTCACATAATTTTCAAAGGGGTAGCTGGAATAATCTGTATGGAGGGTTTTGCAGAGGGTTTATACTGGCCACCCATGACACAGATCAGGTTTGGAAATATGTTTAAATTACACCACATGTTTTTTTTTAATCAATTCAATTAATACTATTAAAAATCATGATATTTGATATAAAAATAAAGACTTTTAGCTTCTTGGGTCCCTGGGTGGCTCAGTTGGTTAAGCCACTGCCTTCAGCTTAGGTCATCATCCTGGAGTCCTAGGATGGAGTACCACATCAGGCTCCCTGCTCAGCAGGAGGTCTGCTTCTCTCTCTGATCCTCCCCCCCAACAATAAATAAAAACTCAAAAAAAAATTTTTTTAGCTTCTTTTTAAGAAATCTGAAGTCCTTACCACATTAGGTCCCATGCACATCTAAGAATTATAATTAATACTAATAAAAGCTACTATTTATTGAATGCTCATGAAGTGCCAGGTATCATTCTAAGTATTTTCTTTGTTTTTTTTCCCTTCATACACATAGTATGTCTGTGATACAGGTCTTTTTGTCCACATTAGATATCTGGGAGTGTTGATCCCTGAGAAATACAGTAAATTTCTCAATATCTATAGGTGGTAACTGATAGAGTTGGTATTTGAAACAAGGCCTGTACCATATCCATGATGTAGGCAATTCAAAATATTAAATTACTGAATGGTGAATCAGTATATCCATTATGATCACATTTCTGTATTTGTAGAAAGCTAATTTTCCCTGTGTGATTACTTTAAATGCTGCTATTTCAATATACCATGAAACCTATTTCCTAAAAGAAACATTACACCTACATCTCATAAATATTTTCTGTTTTTAAAATAATTGCCACTCATTTTTGCTTAAAGAAATTACACAAATAATGTCCTAATCCAATTTTAATCCATTTTGTTTCAAATTGGTAGAATCCATTTATATTTATCTTTTATGCTAAAATTCCAATTATAATTTTCTCTGGTAAATTAAAACACTTCATTTAATTTTCTGCATATCATTTGTAGACAGGTATTCAAAAGCCTTCTGAATTATATATATCCCAGAATTTTAACTCTGGAAGGGGTCACTTAAAATTCAAGCACATCTTACCAGAAGTTGTCTTCACTACTTCAGTGGTATTTCTCAGTCCAACAAATGAAAATTGATAAAGCCTCCAAGATCTTGTGTCACCCACTTCAACAGAACTACGCTTCCATTGGTAGACAATTTCTTCACGTGGATAGCCATCTGCCATGAGATGGGAAAACACACATTTAAAATTATTTATAAATGAACATATGTAAAAAAAAAAAAATGAACATATGTAGCAACCACCTTCCATGAACAAGACACTGAAGTAGGTGTGAGAGAGACTGAGTTATTAGAAGAAGATCCTGAACTAAAGAGCATCACAACAGAAGAAATAAATACAATGACATCTTCTCCCAACAGAAGTTTAAAAACAATGAGGTCAAAATTACCCTTGAAAGTCACTTAATTTGCATAGAAGTTATACTAGACATGGTTTTATGTATGCTAAATGCATACTCCACATTGTCTAGGGTAAACATAAAAAGTAGCCAGTCTAAAAGCAACTGTACATATGCAAGGTATTATTTCATGATGAAGGGGAGTTAACAGGGCAAGGTATTGAGAGTCATGAAGAAATAGAAAATAATTAGAGAGAAGCAGACTCAAATGCCTCTCCAGGGCATGCACTTGGAGTGGAAGGTGCCTGGGAAAAATAACCTCAACTACTTATGTTATTCTCCCTTTCTCAATTTGTTAGGACTTCATTTTAATATATGCAGAAATTTTACTTACTACAATTAAGACTAGTATAGTAAGTAGAAATGCCCAGAGGAAGATACCCATGAGCACTATGTAGAGTCTGAAGAAGTCAATCATGTTCAGCCAAGAGAACAGAAAGCCTTCATTGAAAGAGGTATTATACTGACAATGTAGTGATTATCAGTACCATTTGTGCCCATAATACTATAGAAAAGTGTCTTCTTTTTTTCCCCTAAATTATTTGTTTCCTTATGAGGATCATGGTAGTACTTATTTCATGAACTGATGGCCAATGTATATTTGTGAACGGATAAATATTATTAAGTTAATTGTAGAATAAACTCAAATATGGGTACAAGGCTGGCTCAGTCAGTAGAGCATGTGACTCTTGATCTTGGGATTGTAAATTCAAGCCCCACATTGTGGGTAGAGATTATTTAAAAATAAAATCTTTAAAAAAAATAAGCTCAAGTAAAAATAGGTCAATAATAGATAGATAGATAGATAGATAGATAGATGATAGATAGACAGACAAAACTAAATACCATCTCAACTATGTATCTACTAATAATGTTATATAAACCTAAGTCTTAATCATGGAGGCTGATTGACTACTTGGAATAAAATCCCTATATGTCTTCCTTTTCTTTTCTTTTGGTCTAATCAGTTGTGTTACATGTTTATTAACAAAGGTGAAAGAAAAAAAGAAAGCATAATCTCCAGATTGGCATGGCCCAGGAGTAGGGGGGCAGAATGTGCTGAAAACTGAGAAAAAGAATGATGATGTTAGGGAACTTCCTATGGAGAACATGTTTGGTGATTTAACTTTTTTGAGAGCAATAAGTAACATTAAGTTGTGCTTGAGTTCAGAAGACATTTGTCCATCAGTGACCTAACAAGACAGAAATCACCAGTGCTTAAATTTTAGCAGACTCAGAAATGGAGTAGTCCCAGCTGGATATTAAAAGAAAGGAAGTCTAATCTACTAAAGCTTAGGAAAAATTTTACTTAAAAATATTCTATTCTTGGATAAAGTAAAACATATGAAATAAGATTTATAATGGGAACTTTTGTAAACAGAAATGATATACATTGATATTTTTCCTCTAGTTCATTCTGGAATTGATGTAATGATGAACAGATGATTGTTTCTCTCATCATTGTTTTTTTAAGTATAGTTATTATGACTTACTTGGCTCTTAAGAGTCTCTGTCATGCCCTGCTTGAGAAATTCTATTTATAGAAATATAAACTTAAAACTCATAATCTGTTTTTCATTCTGCCTAGTATGCAGGGTTGGCAGATCAAAAATAAGGAAGAGGTGAGCAACCTAACATGAGTGTTGAACAAACAGTGAGGCACACACCTGGGGGAAACTAAAGCTTGGCTTTGGTTCAGGAAGGAAATATCTACAAAAGTTACTAAAGCTTAATCTGTTTCAAAATCATCATGGATCATTTTGGTATATAGTCTATTATCTGGTAATAATAATAATTAACAAAAATAATAGAGCTTTTTACTAAATCTTATTGTGTGTAAGGTAGCACACCAAGCATTTTACATATATTACATCAACAAAGCAATATTGTGGTGAGGCAGGTCTTGTCATCTCTATCTGAGAATGTGGACTCACTGCAAGATTTAGTAATTTGTTCAAGTCCACAGTGATGGAGTGGGGATTTGAACTAGACCCATAAGACACCAAAAATTGGTCTTTTACTCACTGGTAAATAATTTGTTCTAGATACTGCTTGAACTCCAGATGGAGAAGGTAAGTTTCAATGTTGCTATCTTTAACAGGTATACCAAAATTGAAATAAGCAAATGACACTGTTGATTCTATGTACCTCCTGATGTGTAAGGGAGAAAATAAATAGCAAACATTTTGCTACTCTCTTTTCCTACACCGATGGGGGTACTGGGTGGGGGGGGTGGTGGTGGATAGGGGCAGGGAATAAGGATGTAAAATCCACTTTATACCTTTCCATTGTGGCCAGGCCTGGTTTTACAACCCTTCTTGAAAAATATCTTCAGGCAGCCACTGTGAATTTTTTAAACATTTATATACTAGTGAAACCTACTTGTAATTTCTGATAAAATAGATCCTTTTTGCAGGAATCACTCTAATACAGATAAACTGATATTATGATGAAAGTAACTGTCAAAATCTTCAAAGTCAACAAAGTTGCTTGATTCTGCATTCTCTGAGTCTCCCATTAGTTGGCATTGCAATTAGAAAACTGTTGGTGAGAGAGGATACAGAATACAGAATGAGATTACTTACAGCTGGAGAACTCCAAGGGGCAGGAATGTTCATCCATCGGAAAATTGTGTAACTGCAGTTGGCACTCTGCATCAATTGTCAACCTAAATAGAAAGATACGAAACCAAAATAGAAATCCTTTAGACATACTTTTAAGAATATACATTAGTAAAATTTTAATGACTATTCTTCATCTTTGTTCCTGGAAAAAACATCTCATATTCTTATTGATAACACAAGATGATTCTCCCTGAAGAAACCCACCAAGTCCAGAAGAAAATTACTTAAGGCTTAATGTAGACCATTTTCACAGACCAAGCAATAGGATCTCATGGATGACAATTGCATTTTTTCCAAAATTTATGATCATGTAATTTTTTTGGCAAATTAATTGCACACATGAGATCATTTGGTGAGTATATTTAACTTAATAGAACAGTTTTAAGAACTTAAGTTCATCTACTGTTTGCATGTAAATGAATGCTGATAAATTCTCAGACCTTATCTGCTAATTAAAGCAGAACTTTCTGTTTGTAAGTATTTGTTAGCTGTTAGATGTAAATTACTATATGTTACTTAAAATACTTATATTTCCACAATGGAGTATTATGCATTCTTATAATGGAACTCTATGAAGCCATAAATAGGATGTTATGGAGTAAAAGAATATTTAATGGCAAAGAAGAAATGTTAAATACACATACACAGGCATATTAGAAAAATGTTTGCCAGTGAATCTCAATTAGTTTGCATCTGGGTGCTTATTAAAGATACAGATTTTCTGGATCTCAGTATGGCCTGGGACTCTAGGAGGGAGAAATTTAATGGAGTTCCAGATGTTTTGACCATCTTTGGAGAAGTATAAATATATTCTAAAATTATAATGGTGATGGGCCAATGATTTTTAAGATTTCTTATTTGTTAGCTATATACCTTATAGGTATTAATCTTGAAATAAAAAACTATCTTATAAACATTTATTTTAAAAGATTTTACAATTCAGCATAATTTTTAATGGGAGAGATGTCATTTTCCTATGGTATAATAGGACAATCACTGATCTTAAATTTAAGTGATAATATTGAGCCTTTAATCATCCATGTGGGACATTGGGGAGAGTATGTGCTATGGTGAGTGCTGTGAAGTGTGTAAAGCTGGCGATTCACAGACCTGTACCCCTGGGGATAAAAATATATTATATGTTTATAAAAAATTAAAAAAAAAATCATCCATGTGGTACTGGGTATGGTAAATTGTTACCTAATTTAATCAAGCGTTATTATGACTTTATTGTACTTGAACTTATCCAAAGTCACAAAGCTAACAGCACAGTTGAGTTTGAACCCAAGATTATTTGTCTCCAAAGCCAAAGGTTTTAATCAGTGTCACTCAATAATTATACGCTCTTCCAAAGAAAAGGTTAGTTCTATTCATAAGTGAAATTATAATTAAATACTTTATTTTTTCAAATTAAACTGGAACTATTAAATTGAAAATAATTTAAAGAGATTGCAGATACAAAGACAGATACACATAGATATTATCTCTGTACACACACCTATTCATAACTTATTATAGATTAGCAACAAGAATAAAATCTTCACTCTGTATAGGTTTGCAACCCATTTAAACTTTGAGTCTCATGACTGGCATTTTTGAGGTGGTTTCTCTAATTAAATATTATATAGAGATTCTACAAATTAATAGAAATGAAAACATGAGTGTAGTTATGAGAACAATCAAGGAACTCGGGATAGTGTGAGTGACTTAATATTTCAAAAGCAGGACTGGCTCTGATTTATCAAACTTTGATTTCCACTAGATTCTAATTTCAGTCATTACCTTATCTCTCACAGTTAATGAAACCCATGATGAATACAAACTATAGGCCATGAATTTCTTTTCTAATTATGGCCATTTTTCCTAGTTACTGGCATAACTCTGATAAAGGTTTTGGAGCCATTTTAAAGTATTTTATTTTGCATGCCAAATGTTATATAAGGAATAAAGTATATACCACAAGAGTTTTTAAAAGGAATCATTTTGAAGCTAGAAGTTCCAGGATGCTAAGATCTAGGAGAATCATATTATCCATAATTTTTACTGAAAATATATATAAATAATTTTAATAACTGTTGCACGTACTATATATCAGGCTGCATGTGAAGCACTTTATATACCTGCCCATTTGGTCCTTATAATAATACTGTAAGAATCACTATCTCTACTTGATTTTATTTTTTATAGATATTAAAGAAATGAAAAGAGTTTGCTCAGACTCTCTTGGGTGGGGGCATGAACCATGGGGGTGGTGGGTGCCTCCTTTCCAATAATCTCCATCAATGCCTACCTAATTTCTTTAAATAAAGACGTAACCGAGTAAAAACATCAAACTTACTAATAAAACTCTGAGATACATCTAGCACCAAGATCCCTGCAACCAGATAGCTGCCCCCAAGTCCTCTACATACAAATTCTTGAAAATTGCCCTAATTCATGTAGATAGTAAGATACAGGTCTAAGAACTAAAGCCAGATTTGTCTGGTTCTTAAGACTTTGTACTTATCTACTATGTTGTTTAATAATATACTCTCAAAAAAAAAAATAATATACTCTCACCCATGAGAAACCTCAACATCAAAATATTTTAAATGCATATAAGCATTATTAAGTGCTAAGATAATGGCATACAGTAAGTAGAAAATCTCCCAACTGTTACCTATCATTTAAGCTCATAAAATAAAAGATAAATTCCTTCAAATTATCCCTAAAGAAGTCTATTCCCAAAATAGCCAGTAAATTAAGTCAAATGGCCTATCAATGTAGTGCAGAGTGGGTGCTGGGAGATAGAAATCATTGTACTTGCTATTGTGCAGCTAAAAGAAAAGGAGGTACAGGAGACCACCACACCGAAATTTCTCCTTTAGCAATGGTTTCCTTGGACACAGAGACATTTCTAAGCTTAACAACCAGTGGTCCCAAGGATAACTGACTGTGTTTTCATTTCCTTATTTTAAAGTAGCAGGAGACACATGCAAAAACCAAGGCTGGTGCAAAAATCAGGTAACTCTTATAAAGGCAAGTGAAATTTCATGTCCCTGTGAGAAAACAGAGTTCTCACATCAGTCACAGAAAATAAAGTTCTACCTATGGCTTTGAAAAAGCTCATTGTTAAGAGAAAGGAAAACTAATTTTGTACGATCACATACTATTTTGATCACACATGCCCACCCTGATGTAGGTTTGAAATTGCTTTCATTCCTCTTGTTTTAAGGGCATATAGTTGATCTTTGGTTTATTCCCAGAGAACAAAACTTGCCTTTTTCAAAAGCATACCTTAAGGTGTAGAGCACTCGACCATCATTCCAAATTCTCAGCATCCTATTAGGGGTGGTTATCCAGTGTGCATCAGCCTTTTTGGAGTTTCTGAAGAAAGTGTCTGGAATCCAGATTTTCCCTACCATGTTGCTATTCAATCTGAGGACTTTAATGGTGCTGTTAAATTTCAGACGTCTGTCATACCATGTTTGAGCAAAAAATATGTCAATTGTGTATTCCTGTTTTTATTTAAAAAAAAAGGGGAATAGAACATTTTTAACACAATTGTATTATTGTATTACAGAGCATTTGTTTCTATTTATCATTTGTATTTTCACTGCCAACACAAAGCAAAGCTACTTTAGTTTTGAACAATCCAAAAGAAAGCGAAAACTTTGCTAAGGAGACACACCCATCTTTTCTAGACAAATGGATATTTTTATGAAAAAATAGACCTGTTTAGATGAATTCTAGCAAAAGGCCATAGTTGTGATAGCATCATTTGCATTCAGTGTCTCTAGAGCAGTTAATCCTGTTACTTTGGGCCAGCTCATTCTCTGTTGTGCAGGCTGTGTTGTGTACTTTAGAATGCTTAGTAGCATTCTTAGCTTCTACCCACTAGATGCCAGTAGCACCAACACCACCACCACCACCAGCCCCAAGCCCCGGCACATTGTGACGGCTAAAAATGTCTCCAGACATTGCCACACGTATCTTTAGGGAAACAATCACCCAGGTTCAGAATTCACTGCTAAAATGTGAACAAAGTCCTGAACTGGAGCTCTGGAGGCTCAGTTGTGTCATAATAAAATTGGGATCTTGAAGAAACTGTCTTGTTGGGATGCCTGGGTGGCTCAGTAAGTTAAGGGTCTGTCTTTAGCTCAGGTCATGATCCCAGGTTCCTGCGATCAAGCCCCTCATCGGGCTCCTTGGGCTCCTTGCTCAGCAGGAAGCCTGCTTCTCCCTCTGCCTGCTGCTCCCCCTGCTTGAGTTCTCTCTCTCTGACAATAGAATTAAAAAAAAAAAAAAAAAGGACCTGTCTTGTTAGGTAGTGTGAAGATGGATAAGAAGGAGAACACACATCAAATAGTGTGTGCTATGTCTGGCAGATAGCAAACACCAAATGTAAGGTAAGTTTTCAAAATTTGTTACTATTATAGTTTTCCTTTTCTCCAAATAAGAGGAAATGAACCCATTAAAAAAAATCTTTAATACTGTACTAACTGAATCACAAAGCACATTCACAAAGTGCTGTGATGAAAAATGACTTTGTTATGATAACCTTCAAATATATATCACTACAATGGTGAGTGACTGACTTTAATTAAAGAGAAGTAAGTGTGATGTGAATTCAGACCATTATATATGGAGTCAGAATAGCCAAGTTCTGATTTGTTATATTTAGGTATTATTTAACATTATTTTGTAACTTGATTTTAATGATGTCTATAAATGAGAAAATTGAAGAAAAAACTCCATGTACTTAGAATATGAGATCTGGGCAATGGGAATCATCCATATTACACATATTACACATCCAGAATATACAGCCTGTCACAGGATCAGACCATAATCTTCTTCCTCTTCCTCATTTGCATTGTTTTGTGTTATTTCTTGGCACCTCCTGCTGTGTTATCTTATTATAACTAACTACATTTTCCCTAGGGTAAGCCTGATCACTTTGTTCACCACTTAGTTCCATATTTATAGTCTACAAACAGTAAGAAGGGAAGCTATTTTATGAAATTCTTTGTCAGTTAGTGATGTGCCAGTAGATAAAGTTACTAAGTAACTTCTTACTTTTTTTTTTTAAGATTTTACTTATTTATTTGACAGAGAGAGATCACAAGCAGGCAGAGAGAGAGGAGGAAGCAGGCTCCCTGCTGAGCAGAGAGCCCGATGTGGGGCTCGATCCCAGGACCCTAGGATCATGACCTGAGCTGAAGGTAGAGGCTTTAACCCACTGAGCCACCCAGGCAACCCCTAAGTAACTTCTGATTCTGATCTACATTGCACAAGAAGAAAAAGTTTCTCATCTCCCAGACTCAACAGAGCGTCCTTACTGCTAGCTTCATAAATACTATTTCAAAATTATACTATGACTATGTTATGTTTGTTAATGTGGTTATGTTATAGTATGTTCTACTCTATTCTAGACTCCAATCTAGTTTCTTATTTCAGATTTAGACAGAAAGAGCCATACAAGAACAAAGCTATATTTGTTACATCTAATCCACTATTTCCCCTGATAAATAATTCCAGTTTGAAGCAAACTATGCCCTCATCACACCATCAAATTCTAAAAATTAGTGGAGTATTGTATTTTATTTTCTAATAAGCTATACTTACCAAGTAAGCAATGATTGTTGAATTTTTAAAGTATAGCATTTTTCAAAAAGTAGTATACATATGATCACATTTAATTCTCATAACAAATAATAAAAAATAATTATGTTCATATTACAATAGAGAAAAAAGAAACTGAAAGATTATTTTTCCCTTATGAATTTTCTTATTGACATATTCTTTGCTATTTTTATGATGCCACATCTTCTAATATGTTAATAAAATAGACAGACTATGAGAAACTTACCATATTGATAGCATTCACTGGACCAATGCTATTCACGTACATGTCTGTATGAATTAATGTTGGTTTCACTGTAAAGAGAATGACAGATACGTGCATGTGGAGAAGCACAACATCATAATGTGTTAGTCTGTGTTACTCAAGAAATAAATGTATTTTGCTACATTAGAAGTGATTTACTCACAACTAATTTGGTGTCAGTAACTAATTCATTACCTATAAATAACAATTTGTTTTCCAAAAAAGATCTCCTTTTAAGCACACAAATGCAGTAACTAAGCATATTAGAGTTTGAAACTGATTATTCTTTACAATTGCATTAAAATGAACAAATAAGAAAACACTGCTCAGATTTTCTTCCACCTTCTCTCAGATATCTCAGATAGATCTTTAAGCTCTAGAATCTATTTGGGCATGGTAACCTGAATTGACCCATGTAGAAAAAAAAAAAAAAACTATTTAGTGATCTAGAAAAAATATTCATTACAAACATGAAGAGCAACAAATATTATGAATTGTTTTTGAAACATTGCCCTCTGTTGATTCCTGTCATGACCACTTTATCTGCATACACCTCAGCCCACACAAAATCAATCTTCCTCAATGACTTACTCAATTGTGTGACTCATCAAATAATATGAGGAAACCATATGGAAACCCAATACACACCTATTTGTCAAAGAGGACTGATATTAAAAATCATGTAGTATGCCATCCATGACCAAATGTACATTCTCCATTTTCATTTAAGATTTAATGAACAAGAATTCCTAACACCATTCTGTGCTTCAACTCAACAAGTATGTTTTTCTCGTCTTTATTCACTCTCCCTTAAAGTGCTGTGCCGTAATTTTCTCTGTTGGATTGAATTCTTCACTAGTCCGGGCATCTATGCCTCTGCCTTTACCCCAGTGAGGCTGCTTCACTGCCTCTGAACTTCAGGCTGGACCATCTAACTTGTGTTGGCTAACATGCACAAGTGAGTATGGTAGTTCTAATCCCAAACATTAACTCTTACGTATGAGCCTCCACTTCCTGTCTTGCTCTTTGTTATTTTCATGAGACGGATACTCCTAGCTAGTCTCCTGGTCCCAGGAGTAGAGTGAAAATACAGGTTTCTTAAATGAGCAGCCCAAACCTAGCTTAATTTAGATGAACTGCTCCTGGCAAAGTGTTAAATAAATGCATATTATTATATGCCACTGAGATTTGTGATGTTTTGTGCCACCGAAGTAGGTAACTAATATATCCTTTCTTTACCATTATTTACTTGGTTGTTTTTGATGTGACTTCATAAAGAAGTTGTCACATTCCTTCCACAGCCTTTGTCTAAGATATCTAGAATTTGAATTTCCAGCTCTCACACTTCACTTGAAGATTATGGATCCTCTTTCTTCATTTTGCATTTATCAAGGCCCCTCCCACCCCCACGCCTGAATGCTATTTACACATTCTTTATTTTGACAGCATATAACGATCATTTTAAGTATTTCTGGTTATTGAAAATATACTAATGTTTTCTTCTATACTATATCACAAATTACTTGAACATACCTCCTATATCAGGCCGAAGTTTATTGTCATATCCTTCCAGGAGATTATTTAAAATGACAGTGACATCACCTTCAGGAACTTTTGGAGTCAAGACCCATGTTTTGTTAGAAGCATAATCTTCATAGTCATCATCAGATTTTTGGCTAGTGAGGCTAAGAAAACAAAAATGTTGGTCAGGAAACAAATAGACTACATCCAAAAGGATTTTTTACTCACAGACCACCAGGGAGAAAGGAGAAATGAAATAGGATTACAGGAATGTATTACAATGGATGACAGTGAAATTTTTCACTGAGGCTCCATCTAGCTAATTAAACCACACAGATGTAGATTTAAATTTATTAAAGTGTACTCTACAGTTTTCCAGAATGCTCTGTCTTCCCATCTGTCAGTATACTATGTTTTACAAGTGATTTTTGCCTTTTCCATTGTTGATGTTCTTCCTGTCCACCTAGCCAATCTCATGAAGGACTTATTAAGAAAAAAACATTTTTGTGAAATGTTGCTTAATGATCATGCTTAGTTGCTTAAATGATCATAATGTAGTCTCAGAATTCAGACATAATGTCTACTTCTTCCTCCCTTAAGAACTTAACTTGCTTCAACCTGTTAATGAAAGTAAGAGACAGATAATTAGATTCACTCCCACAAACCGCCAGACAAGCCTTTCCCCTCTCAATTGAACTACTAAGGAGAACTTAGTCTTGCTGCTTTTTCTTCCCCCAGGGTATGTGTATGTGTATTTTTTTCCCCTCACTTGTGCTGAAAGCAAGGGCGGTTCATTTATCTTTGATTGTTAAGAACCTGGTACTATGAAGAAAAATGTAGTTGTAGACTTTAAACCACTCTTTATTATAGCAAAAAGTTCCTAACCCAGAAACTCATGCTAATAGTTAATATACTATCATTGTGTAATTGAAATTGCCTACTTTGAGTGATTGAAAAACTGCATAATATCCTGTGACTCAGTTTTCCATGCCCAAACCTGTCTGAAAACTCCCACAATTAGGGCCAGAAGTTAAGGCTGACTTTGGAAAGATACCGGAATTTCTGTATCTTCCCTCTCCCCCTTGCTCCAAATTCCAACTCCCCTCTTCCCACCCCACCCCCACTCAAGAGGATTATATTTTCCAGATCTAGGGGCAATGCAAACTTTGCAACAGCTGCCATTTTTATCAGCATTCAGTGAATATTGGTTACTTCTGTGGCTTATGGTAAAATTAAAAAAAAAAAAAACTTAAAATATGAAGTTTCCCATCCCCATTTCAGTTTATTTACATAAATACATGCTACAGAATGGATCTTATCAGAAATCAAACCACTGCCATATTACCCTAAATACACACACACACACACACACACACACATGCACAAACCATATTTATGATCTTTCTTCAATCACACTCATTCAGTTTATATATATAAAGTATATGTACATAAATGTGTGCATATATAGATAAGTAGATGACTCCATATGGTAGAAGAAAGCCGATTGCATGGTTAATCTGGCTTGAGAATGAGCACAGGAGATGAAGTTTTAAGAGTAATCACTGGCATGGATCAATTTAGTAAACAAGTAATCTCTTTAATTCCTTTAAAGCTTTATACAGAAGAACCATTATAAAAACTGAGCCACACATCTGCATCAAACCTCACAGAGCCAGTCTAACGTCTGGCACTTCAATTAGCAGAATGACTTTAAACAGCATTTAAATTTCATAAACCACCCATACCGGGTATGATGGGCCATACAAAACTTCAAGAAGCTCTCCAAGAGAAAGGCACTGGTATCGGCAGAGGCCAGTTCTCTTATAGGAAAATCCTTCTTGGGCCTCAATTCATCGTTTCTCCAGAGCGTTGCTGAACACTGCCTAATAGAATTTTCATTCTACAACCTAAATCTCACTAGTTTAAGAAGGGGTTAAAAAAAAAAAAAAAAAACAGCTCTCTGACCAAGAGATTTTCAAATCCCTCCAGTAACTGAGAAAAGAATGTGGTTGACCCACTGGATACCATCATTACAGAATTTTACCACCATTTAATTTGTTTATGCAAAAGTGTCTTTAAAAAAAATCTTTCCCTCTTCCATTCCCTCCCCTCCTCTGTGTCTCTCTCTGTATCTGTCTTTCTCTCTCTCCCTCAGACAAATGCACCCTATTAAAGTTTCTTCAAGGGAAGGAGATAGATATTAAATCATTTGGTTCACACTTACAGCAACTCCTCATACTACCAAGTAAATCATCCCAGCATGATGGTTCTATTTTACTGTTGTTACCATCATCTGGCAGAGTAGGAGGAAAAATACATTAAGTGAAAATAGAAGAGATACTTGCATAGAAGTAATACTACTTTCCAGAACTGCATCAATAAATCTTTAAGAATCATCATCTGTTAGAGGCCAAAACAATAAACAAATGGATTATTTCATATAAAAGTATCCGTGGTAGATTTTGTCATAATTGGAGTTGCCTACTTAGCCTGAGAGAGGTAAAAAAAAAAAAAAAGAGTTAAAAAAAAAGAGTTGAGAAATTAAGAGTATATACTTTGGAGTTAAAAAATACTAGGTTTGCTTTCTGGATTCATCATGTCGTACCTCTATCATTTACTATTTTATGACCTGGGGCAAGTTATTTAGCCTTGCCAAACTTCACAAAGTTTTCATCTTTAAAATAGAGTTAATGCTAGTTTGTTTTGTTTTTAAATTTTTGTGTATGGTTATATTTTTTTGTGTGTGTGTATGGTTATTTTTTTAATCTTACTTTTGTGTATGGTTAAGATAATGGTTACTAAGTGCTTCACACAATGCCTGACACATAGCCCTGAAAATAGGTCCTTTATAATTATTGTTATAAAGTGATGACTGCTAGATTTATAACAGCTCCAACCATGCAACTAAAACCTGAATCTACAGATTCTGCTTTCAGGCTTTTATCTAATACGTGCTGAGAAAAACTAAAAACAGATGTTTTCGAGAAAGAAAAATAATGAACCCCTACATTATAAATAAATGAAGTTTTTATTCTCCGGAGTTTTCCTAGCTGAGTTCTAAATTAATGGGGTGATGCATAATCTGGGATTGTTTCCAAATTTGTCTTAAAAAGAAAAAAAAAAGCCTCTCTCATTTAACGTTGGCTGTTTTCTCTAGAATTCCTTGGAGTCAAGACCTCCTCATTTGTAGGTAGACTGTTCAGGAATAATGAAGTATGATCATTAGACAAAGCATTCTGTGGCATTGTCAACCCCACAAGAAGGCCTGGGCAGAAACAGATTGATAATGATGCAAGAAAACGGACAGTTGAGTGCACCAAGTGCAAACATAAAGTTGAATTTCTAGCTATAGCCAGCTATCTGAATTTAACAGCCTTTACAAGTAGTTATTTCTTGTGCCCTTTCGTTTAACAAAGTAATCTTCTAAAAAGAGAACTAAAACTGAAATTGGTCTTAAAATACCTTACCATAATGAAAAACATGTTTTCATAGTCTGAGTGAAAAGTTGTCAAAGACAGTACCAGAAAAGGTTGTAAAGTTTTCATCTTTGAAAGCCTTTTTAGAAATGCTAGAAAGACATCTGCCTGGGATCCTTGGACCTGCAGCATGAGCACTGCTAGGCTATTGCTAGAAATGCAGAACTTTGGGCCCCCTGAGACATCTGAATCAAAATCGTTAACAAATCTTCAAGTGATTCATATGCATATTAACATTTGAGAATCTCAGTCACAAAGTGTTTAAACCAGTGTTGTCTGTGTGTATGTGGCAGAGCAGATGGAGGTGAGTGCGGGGGTGGGGAGGAGGGAGTAGGTTTTTGAAAATACATATTCCCAGGTTCCCACTTTAAATCCTGTGTCTCCATGTTGTAAATTAGATTTTTCCATGTCGTAAATTAGATTTTTATTTTCATGTTTCCACTTTCAAGCATGATTTGAATTTATGCATGATTACAGCATGTAATAAGCTCATGTTCAAAATCAGAAACAAAAGCTGATTTTATTTAGAAAAAAATGGCTCAGAAAAACAAAAAAAAATATTTGATAGTTGCTCAGAGAGATGTTGTTCTCAATTACATAAAAGAGTCTAAATATTTGAATTTCGGTACTTATTTTGTATGTTTGACACTGAAGACTAATCATGCAGTTTATAGAATTTTAAGTTTTATTCCATGTATCTCAAATTCCCACAAATTCGATAAAGATCAAAGTTTTGTTGGGGGGAAAAAGCTAGCCACCTTATCATCTCAGAATAGTATAACAGCAAACATTTGGGTGAAATATAAAAACATTTGTCTTTTCGTTCAGGTATTTTAAAATCCATTAGTACTTGGCATCATAAAGACAGAATATATATTTATATATATTTTTTTTCTCTGACATAGGTAAGTGGAATTAAAAAAAGAAAAAATTATTTATCTTTAAACTGTTTTAAAATAATTAGTGTTTCATTCTTTCATAGTTTTAGTAATATTTTGTTGGTACAAGTTTTATTTTTATTTTATAGGAGCAATGAGTTAAATGCAGGGCATTGTATATGTCAAAATAAATCAAGATATATAGGTCAGTAAAATGAAACCTTTTGGATCTTTTCTATTAAAAATTCCTATGCATTAGATTTTCTGCTTTGTTAGTATTACCTCTACTTTGAATCTCCACTGCTTATATGACCTAAATCTCTATTCCTTCCTTTTACTACTTTCACAGAGCTACCCTTCTACCCCACATTTTCGTCAGACCATAGATAATCCTCACACTATGTTGTCATGTTACCTAAGTTTGCTAAGTTCCAGAAACTTGGCCAAACTCCAGTCTAATTGCATGGCTTGTCTTTCCTGACTACAATCTTTTCTTCTCTTCACCTTCCACACCAATATTTGGCATGTCTTATTCCTTCTTAAATTTGAACACAAATATCACCTTCACATAGAGGTCACCACTTACTGTTTTATCTAACTTTGTGACCCACCCCACCTTTCATATTGACTCTAGCCAGTCCCTTGATAGCTTCATAGCATTTGTTACCATGTCCATGTATTGATTTGTTTATTGTATGTCTCCATTCCTAGACTATAAATTCCACGAGTGCATGCTTAATTAAGATGTGGAAAGAATAAGTGTTCTTGCTAACCAGTTTTCCTCAGGTAAATAATACAAATGATAGCTAC